CATATTTGGTGTATCTGTCTAATATCATTAGACTTGTCTAACGCTATGTGGCTCTTTTCTGTGTCACTGCTGCATCAACAGACAGACTCCATCACTGACCCAACCATCCATTAGCAGAACCTTTCTAAGTTTGGGTTAGACTGGTTGAGTCATTTTGAAGTGTTGTGGCCTCAAGTGAAGATTCTGTCAGAGAGTAGCTGGGTTTGTAGTTCTGACATGTAAACAGCTGTAAATAGCCCTCTGTATAGAGTGAGAATTGGATCAGGAGTGTGAAGCCCCTCTGGTTTTACTCTTTTTTCCTGTTTAGGAGCTGATTTATATTGTGCCGCTGGCCCTTCTTGGGAGTGGGAAAAAGTAAAAATAAAAATGTTATGTCCAGCTTTCACCTCGATGAAACAATAAGGCCAGAATGCAGCGCTGACGGCGTCCCCTCATCAGAAAAACAATTGAACCTCCTTGTCTTTTTACAGACGTCACACCAGACGATCTTTAATTTATCAGAATTCCACCTGCCAGTACTGGAGATGAACTGAAAGAAGTGAATAAACGTCAGAACCATCAGGTCCCCATTTTACTCCATTGATTGTTTTATTAAGTTATTTTACTCTGCTGAAGAATTAGAGAAAATAAATAATAAAGACATTCATTGCTGCCCAGTGGCGTGTGGAAAACACAGAACTGTCCCGTGCCTGTTCTGCACTACGAGTATCCTTGTGAGGTCGCTCATATGAAGTGAATGTCACAAGGTGTAAAATATCTTTAAATCACTTGACAGACGTCTTCTTTTTCTGCATGCATGTCATCCTTTATGCCAGTTGTTCATCTCTGTCACTAGATTATCAGAATCAGTCATTAATTTGAAAAAAGAGACCGACCCGGTTGCTCTATTGTGGTCATGTATATGAGCTACATGTCTTTCACCTGTCTGAACACACCGACTGCTTTTTAAAAGCACACAGCTGGACACAGCTGTAGAGATTTCACAGCAGAGTCGACCACATACGCTCATAAGTGTTGGTACAATTTTCAAGCAACTTCAGGGCAAACCAGCTATTTAATCCATTTAATGCAGGAAATCAGAAGCAAATGTCATTGCCTCATGCCCTGCTGCTCTAGATTTCCCTGATTACTCCCCAAACAGCTTCTTTCTTTTAAAATGCGACACGTGGGAAAGGAATAAAGGAACCTGGTATGTAGTGAAATGAGGCACCCCCTTATTCCTACACAGGGTTAGAACTGTTCACAGCTGGAACCTCTGCACCAGCGTCATAAAGCTGAAGACATGGAGATCAGTGCAGAGGTGAGGTGTAGCAGGTGTCATTGTCACAGTGGGGATAGAAAACAGAACAGCAACAGCAAACAGCCACCAAACTAGACAAACTGCCTCATTCCTGTTTTCATGATGACGAGAAAAGGCACAGTCAGAGCATTAGTCCTTTCATTCATCACGATGTGTTGTCATGTTAAAATATAGATAAACAAAAACATAAATAACAATAAGGCACTGTTTATATATAGCCTCTCTGCCTCTGGCCCTTCCTGAGAAACATGGCCTATGGGAAACTCCCGTATAAATGGTTCTCTCGATCTGCTGTTCAGATTTCAGTTGGATCCAGCTTCTACAAGAAGTGATGAGGCAAAGCGACTTAGGTTTAAAGGTTTAAAAGCTGCATTGCAAGACGAGGACGTGGGGAGCCCCCCAGACAGACAAAGCAGGGATGGCAGCAAGGGGTAGAGTGAAGCTTGGCTAAGGCAATGAGGAGGTGGCTAAGTGCTTGGTGGTGGAGAGAGCCATGAGCAGGATGATGGAGGACTTGGTGCTCAGTGTTCCTGGAGGTGGGAATGGTTAGCAGGCAGACGGCTGCTGAGCCAGGTGGATGGTACATGAAGGACAGTCTGAGGCACACACAGAAAGAGAACAGCAATGTCACAAAGATGAAAGAAGATTAGACAGCTGGTCTGAGAGCATCTCAGTCTTTGGGTGATGGTACAATCTGGAAAGACCCCTGAGGTCACTGCAGAAGCTTATTATTACCTTCATGATGCGCTTTCTCTTCTTGCTGCAGCTGAAGTACTTTCAATCTGTGTTATGAGTTTAAAATCGTTGCATTTGTCTAATATTATAATTTGCTCTTGGTCTGAAAAATAGGTCATGTAGGTATTCGTAGACCTGTCCATGTCTGCGATTGGTCATCTACTGCCAACTCTTTCACCTCTTTTCGCCTCTTTCATGTGAATGTGCTCAGGAACAGATTCATAAACCCTGGGTTGACTTACCATCTTTGTAATACCAATATCCTGATTGCAGATGTTAAAATAAGTGAAGCCAGATAACATAGAGATAACCTGGCTATGCTGAACTCGCTTCGAAGTACGAGCTCCATCCAACATCTCTACACCTTAATCCTCACTAGGGTGGTAGGGGGCGGAGCCTATCCCAGCTGACTCAGGGTGAAGGCAGGTTCACCTGGACAGGTAACCAGTCTATCACAGGGCTACACTTAGAGACAGACAACCAAGCACACTCACATTCACACCTACGGACAATTTACAATCACCAATTAACTTCAGCATGTTTCTGGACTGTGGGAGGAAGCCGGAGAACCCGGAGAGAACCCACGCTGCACGGGGAGAACATGGAGACTCCACGCAGAAAGATCCCGGGTGTCCTCACTGGGACGCCAACCGACGACCTTCTAGCTGTGAGGCCACGGTGCTAACTACCGAGACACCTGCAGCCCAGTTATGAAAACATGACTTACTTCATAAAAGAAAAAAAAAGATGAATAAGTTATGCTTTGACCCGACATTGTACACCAGAACTATAGTGCTTCTGTGCAATTAATAGATTGATGGAGGGACTTCATTAGAATTTGGTATTTTTGATCTGTTGTTGATTTTCTTGCACTGAAGCAGATGGATGACCTCACATTGGACAAACTGAGTGAGGTAAATAACCACCAACCTAAACTAGTCTGACTCGGTCAAGAAAAGGACAGAAAATACCATTTCAAGGAAGGACAGGGAAATAAAGACGCTCTGTCCACAGAAGAGCCAAAACACATGAGCATAGACAGGCCTGGAAGCTGTGGGTGACAGAGCCGTTCCTGATTTAACATTTTATTAAAGCAAAGAAATGCTGTTATCGCTCCTGGAATGGCAACAACAAGATCGAAGCAATGTGGACGAGAAAATGCAAGAAGACGACAGAATTCATGCACTTGGAAAAATATGTAATAATGAGACGTATGGAGACACAGTCAGCAGAACTAAACAAGCACATGGAGGCTAAACATGACTAATGACAAGCTTTGACATGTTTATCTTCATCTGGAGATGATGATCAGCACCCAGCATACAGGATATGAAAACACAGGACTGGAAGCATTTCAGCACAGAGTGGAAACTCCACAATATGGAAAAAGAGATCAACACATTCTGATCATAATGCTGGAGACTTTAATGAAATGGGCTGTATCAGTTTTTATTTTGTGAATAAAACCTGTCCACAGCGTTCTGATCATTCACATCAACACAGCTAGATCTGGGCAACTTCAACTGCCCCTCTCCTCTCTCGCGGAGGAGTTTCAGGTCGCCAAATGCAGAGTGGCCATGACATTCAAAGCCTCTGGAGACAGCAAGGTCAGAGAGGCTGGAGTGACAACCAGGTCTGGGCGAAAGTGGGAGGCCTCTGCATCTCTGAGTCACGCTGAAGAGAGCCTGAAGCTCAAGGACATCATTGGAGCACCCTGTGTAGGGCAGCAATGTCTGGGACTTACCCACTTTCAATCTTGGGGAAAGGCCAACGCTGCAGAAAGAAGAGCTCTCCTCCAGGTGGAAATAAGGGACCAAGAGGAAGAGCAGAGGAAAGCTAAGGCTGTTGAGCTCAGCTCTCAAGGATTCTAGTTTCCTGGGTACCTCCATCCTGTCTACTAGAACTTTGCCTCCTCAGCTGCTCTACTGAGTGCTTGAACCTGTCCCATGAAGCACTATAGTACACTGAATGTATATATATACCAGTTCTTAGAGCCTTGTAGCTAAAATGTGCTGCATTCTTGTCACTCGCATGCAGATAACTTTTCGGTATGTCTTCCTGAATGAAATGAAAATAATTATAACATCTCCAAGCATTGTCTGATGACTGTCCACCCAACTCCAGATCTGAGTGGGTAAGTATGTTGATGTCCTCATCAGCTTCTATTGTCACAGTGGTTCTGAATTAAGCTTTACAGGCAGCAGTGAGAACTTTGAAAGCAGTTTTGTTTGTTCCTTCCAGGTTGCATATGCACAGCACGAACCATCTCATTAGTTCTGTTTTGTTCTAGTCCAGTGTGGCCTGAGAGGACGTTCTGTAGGCTGCTTTTATCATAACAACATGCTGCATGAGAACATCAGTCCCAGAAAGACAGTAAACATATGTGCAGGTCTCAATAAATGCAAAATGATATATAACCCTAAACCTGGACTTAACCCTAACCCTAAACCTGGACTTAATCCTAACCTGGACTTAACCCTCAAACTGGACTTGATCCTAAACCTGGACAAATACACACAAACTCAGATATGACACATTTAATTTCGATCAACAGATAATTTTAATAAATAATATCGTCATGGAAACCAATTAGACCCAAAAAATAATTGAGCATATCTGAACAATAAATATTAATATTTTTTAATCACTACAGGACAAGTTGAACCAATGAAGTCGGCAGCAGCACATCATACGAAGGCAGGTGATAAATGTGACTAGCAGGGATTTTACTCAAACACCAACAAGTTCAGACGACAAGGTGACTGGCTGATAAAAGGGTGTTGACAAAACCGAGGGCTCTAATGGTCGGAAGTGTGGCGTCCTAGTCCATGAAGCCTCCATACCTCTTCTGTAGCTCACTGCCATTCTCCCAAGCGCGTTTCAACACGCCTCCATTCTTGCTGCTGTCCACCAGCCACTCGGGCCGACCCACGCGCCTCATGAAGCCTCCATAGCGCTTCTTGAGCCCACGGCCGAGCACCGCCTCCAGCAGGTTGCCTGGTGCCACGCCCCCTTCAGCCCGACGCATGAACCCGCCGTAGCGTTTCACCACCTCTCCTCCTTGACCATCCGCCTCACTGCTCTGCTTGGCTGCTGCATTCAGGATCTTCAGGATCTCCAGGCGAATGTTTTCCTCCTCATCCTGGATTCCAGGATCCTCTAGCGCCCCGTCTGGTGAGAAGGAGCGGCGAGACATGAAACCGCCATAACGTTTCATAAAGCCACCGTACTTCTTGGCCATCTGGTGTTCCGGTGATGTTTTGTCCTCATAATCAGCTGTGATGGTGCCCACTGCTTCCTGTTCCTGCTGTTGATGGGGGTCAGTGTCCAGAGGAAGGAGGTTTTCCTCTTCCATTAGAAAGTCCTGGCACAGGCGCAGCTTCTGGCTATCCAACCCACCGTCGCACTCAAGTGAGCATGTCTGTAAAATCAAAATTGCTATTATGATTTTCATACAGAAATGCTTGCCAATGACAATGTGTAGTTTTATCAGGTGACAGAATCCTTTCATTTGCATTTTTGAAAGGCGCTGGACATCTGACATTAAAAATCCCTTCGGTGAATCAAATCGTGTTGTTCAGTTTTTGTTTTTAGGATTTTTACATTTTTAATTTTTCTTTTATTTAGTGCATTAGAGTATGTATGCCAGTGACCATGCTGGCTTCTGGTCTTATTGCTGGAAGATTGTGATGTTTCTTATGAGCAGTTGCATCCAGTCCAGTCATTGTTTATAAGGTTTGTGTCTCAGAAGTCACCAAAGATGTTCTGCATCATGGATGGGGCTTTTACAACCTTCGAAGCTAAACTTTTGGGTAATATAATTGGATAACAGAGTTTTTCATGTTGGCCTGTCCAGGTACCGTGGCACACAACCTGGCAGCTGATCTGGACTCCACACGGTCTACGTCACAAATGGAGTTCAACACATGAAGGCATCGACCAGGCGAGAACCGAACCCTCACCTAACCCGTATGGTACATGTAGGACCCAGGTTTTTTTTTTTTTTTTTAATTCTGGCCCACACTGGGGACTGAACATGAGGGTATGTTAGCATATTCTGCTACGTTTATGATATTATTTTAATGGTCTCTGAGTATTCCAAAAGTGCACTGTCGTGAACAAGGAGCTCCCTACTGGGCAGAAAACCAACAACAAAAACATATTCTTTTAAGAAGTGACTGAGAGGTTTTGAAGTTTTGAAGCTAAGGGTAAATTGGCTCTTCTACTAACCCATCTTTAACTGTAACTATACATTTCTATCATTTTTAGATTAATGTCACCTCACACATATATAATATCTGAGGACGCCTGAGAACATGAGCTGTTTGAGTCGTGTGTCTAGGACTCCAGCAGCATTCAGACCGAGGAGATCGTCCTTCTCTATGGCTTCATTTTCCCACTGTAGTCATATTAAACCACTCGTTTAATGAATCATTACTAAAATTGAAAAGGGGCCTGAAACAGAATGTCAAAAAACAATTTAGTCTATCCTGCATGCATTGCATGTGTAGGAGAGAAACGGTCACCTGGGGGGTCAAGAGATAGATGAGGTGATCATATGTTCCACTGAGTGCCTGGATGACTTACAGGAACACAATACGTCTTATTGTGTTCCTCACCTATTGACAGAATAGCAAATGCATCGAATAGACGCCTCCCATAAAACAGCAGAGCGCAGCAAGCCCTCCCAGTCATCCTTTCACTTTGAGAATCCATATAACCCTCAGACTGAGGTGTCTGCGGGCCCTGGAGGGCGCATGCTGCTCCGATCCTCATGAGTGTCACTGGAGTTCATTTATTTGAGCCATCACAAATTACAGTGTGACAGCATGGAGGAGGGATTCCTGCTGAGCTTTCAGCGCTGCCGGCTTATGAAGACAGAATTAATGAAGAGGAAAATTGAACCGAGGACATATTGGCAACTGTAGGGCTCCGAGGGAGGAGGGCAGCAGCGCCCTCTGGTGGCCAAATGGAACACACACAACAAGAAATAATCGTAAGGACATGGAAAAGGGACTGAAAGGATCCTAATTTCTGAGCTAAAGATTGTAATTTTTCTGTCTGTGTTCTTGGTGTTAGAGAATCAACAGAACAATGTGTTTAGTCCATTATTTGATCGTGGACTCTCCGTTATTCAAGTAATTATGACGACTGTGTGCCCGTGCTCTCTGTTTACAGGTAAGATTGCAAAAAATAGATTGAAACAGGAGATCAGGTTAAACTTCTGTTCCACATCAGGAGAGTCAAGTTTTTGTTGCTCGTTGTATGAGTTTGCATCAGATGTCCACAAAACGGGAGCACAAACGAGAGCTTGTTCCCATCGACCCAGTTAGACAGAATATGGGACACAGCATGGGATATCCTCAGAATGGAATTTAACAATAAGCCTGACACATGCACATCTGGTTCAAAAACGAAATGACAGTGACAGGAAGGAAAACAGAGAAAGGCAAAAGGGACGTGGAAAAGAAGAGAAAAAACACACTGGCTGTTTTGAGTATTGATGTAAAGCCTGGAAAGCAGCGTTACCATGATTATAGTCATCTACACATGAAGGAGAGGATTCAGAGGAAGAGGGTGAATTAAAACCAAAGAGGGAACAAATGGAAGGAAAAAATAAGTGCCAGTGACAGGCAGACAGCGAAATCCATTGTTCGTTATGTCTTTATTAGTTTAAAACATATGGGACTCTGTTATCAGGATTCAAATAATTGAATAATTGAGTACATGGGATGAAAATGTGTAAATAGAAGAGGTAGAAAGTAAAAGAGAAAGGAAGGATGTAATGGAAGCACGGTGGTGTGGGAGAGCCGAGAGCAGCCTTGTTCCAAACAGGAATTAACGGGTGTGAATATGAGAGGACAGAATGGGCAGGTACCTCCACCATGCAGTTCAATCATATTTCATATGTAGCTTTGTGATGAGAACATACCAGACCTTATTAACCTCATTAACTAACTAAACCTGTGTCTCTGTGACCAACTGATCAACCTGTCAAGTCTGCATTTGTCCTCAATGTGTTTAAAGTATGAAAATGAAAGTAGCGCAACATCACCAGAGCTGAGAGCGCAGACTGTTGTCCCAGCAGGTGGTACACACAGAGTGCACACTCCTTTCCACAGTCTGATCCGACCACCAGCGACACACAGGTGCCCAGAACCAGCATCCACATGCAGCTGCTGTGTGCGGGGGCAGCCATGGACTGAGGACAGAACATGAGGAGATTCAGCACTTTATGCAGACGAGCTGTAAACTGTACAAATAAACTGAATGACAGTAACTAGAGCTGTTACTAGTGGTGCCAGATCACAGCTTCAATATTAAAATATATATATATATATATACACGTGTAAATACGGATGTAGAGCATGCCATCTCTGAGTGTCAATGAGTAGCTGAGGTGACGCTGTGCATGAATCTAGGGTTCCTTCTAAGTAATAGTTCAGTTGTTCTGACAGTAGCAGCCTAGCAGTATAAGTCGCAGTAGAGGTCCTGATAGTAGCAGCTGATTCCTACAGTTTAAGTGTTTGCTATCTCCCCTCACCTTTAATTGAAATGACACTGAAGCCGTCCGGCGCGTTCCTTCCTCGTCCGCCGTGCCCTGGAGTAGCGGCGCAGTGAGACAGCTGACGGGCGTCTACAGCTTATTGAAGTGGAGCCTGAGTGTGAGGCAGCAGTTCAGCCAATCAGCAGACACTCGCTCTGTCTCTCTCACCCTGTAGTTTTCTATCACCAGAGGTTCAGGGTGGAAACCAGCCTGTCGTCGTGATGCTGCTGTTGCAACCTGCTGCCTGTTTAAGTAGTTTGTGTTGCCTACGTCACCGGGGACAGGACTGTGGGTGGGAGGCTTTAATAAGCCCTACACCACCCCCACACCACCACCACCACCTCACATTTCCTTTACATGTTTACATTGTCCTGTCAAGTCATCTGTTTTATTGCTTCTCAGGAGGTCTCAGACCAGTGAACGGTCACGTTAGCAATTCCACCTGTAGGTACAGCCTTTGTCCGTGTTACGGGGCAAATAGAAACAGCTTCTCGGGTTTCATACGAGCTGTTGCTTCCTTCTGCTCAACAGGGTTTAATCACTGTGATGTTCTGTCTGGTGTCTGTTTGTAGATGGGGAAATTCATGAACTATGCAGCTTGACCTGATTTCCTAACAATCACAGTGAGACAAATGTGTGTTTTTGATGTCCAGTATAAGTTCTATGATACCAGAACTCTGTCCACAGCAGAGCCAGCAGCACAGTACCAACAGCTTTGCTGCTTCCTTCCTCCTCTGCCTGGGATGACAGCAGACAGTGTTCAGCAGCCACCATATACCACAGAAGGCTGGTGTCAGACATCAGAATTCACCTTCACACCACAGTTAACATGACAATGTAACTGCAGCACCATATGCAGAGGACTTCATGGCCAGCCCGACTCCGAGCCCAGCATCCAGAACCTGCTCCTTCAACGAGTCATCGACACAACGTGACACAGTTCAGACCTGCATAAAACAAGAAACCATGAGTCTTCTATTCTTCAGTGACGTTCACAGTGACTAAATGAGTTTTGAACAGTTTTAGTGTTGATCTCTTTTTCCATATTGTGGAGTTTCCACTCTGTGCTGAAATGCTTCCAGTCCTGTGTTTTCATATCCTGTATGCTGGTTGCTGATCATCATCTCCAGATGAAGATAAACATGCCAAAGCTTGTCATTAGTCATGTTTAGCGTCCATGTGCTTGTTTAGTTCTGCTGACTGTGTCTCCATACGTCTCATTATTACATATTTTTCCAAGTACATGAATTCTGTCGTCTTCTTGCATTTTCTCGTCCACATTGCTTCGATCTTGTTGTTGCCATTCCAGGAGCTATAACAGCATTTCTTTGCTTTAATAAAATGTTAAATCAGGAACAGCTCTGTCACCCACAGCTTCCAGGCCTGTCTATGCTCATGTGTTTTGGCTCTTCTGTGGACAGAGCGTCTTTATTTCCCTGTCCTTCCTTGAAATGGTATTTTCTGTCCTTTTCTTGACCGAGTCCAACTAGTTTAGGTTGGTGGTTATTTACCTCACTCAGTTTGTCCAATGTGAGGTCATCCATCTGCTTTGGTGCAAGAAAATCAACAACAGATCATCCATCCATCCATTTTCTATACACCGCTTAATCCTCACTAGGGTCG